AATTTGGATTGGAATTAGGATCGTTAACTAGAACAGAAAGATTTTTTATGAATGTGAAATGCCTCTAGAAAATCCAGTTCTCCAATGGAAGATGTTTTTTGAATAATTTTGGCAGCAGAAAAACTGAAAGTGTGGTTTTCGGACCAACAATGTTGAGCAACAGAAGACTTATGTGTTTCCTTTTTTATAACATATGCCTCATGTTCCTTGACGCGAAATTTTAAGGCTCTCTTAGTTTGGCCAATGTAAATTAAACCACACTGGCAAGGAATCAATTAGCTATAAAGTTGCACATATTTTGCAGAAATTTAACTTTCGGGTTGTTTATTCTCCCATCAATAAAATTCCGAGTTCCATACTCAAGGATCCATTCCGGATATGAATTCCTGGGGTATTTATAGGATTCCTTGCCAGTGTGGTTTAATTTACATTGGCCAAACTAAGAGAGCCTTAAAATTTCGCGTCAAGGAACATGAGGCATATGTTATAAAAAAGGAAACACATAAGTCTTCTGTTGCTCAACATTGTTGGTCCGAAAACCACACTTTCAGTTTTTCTGCTGCCAAAATTATTCAAAAAACATCTTCCATTGGAGAACTGGATTTTCTAGAGGCATTTCACATTCATAAAAATCTTTCTGTTCTAGTTAACGATCCTAATTCCAATCCAAATTTGCCTTCGGCCTTTAAAGAAATTATGTTTTAGTTCTGGTTTCACCAACAGATGGCGCCACTTGCTTATCCAGGCTTTCTTATCTTATCTAATCATTGTTTCCTATCTGGTTCATTTGCGGTTTTGCAGCTGAAGATGGTGGTTCGGTAAAACCATCGAAACTAGTCCTGTGAAAATTTTGTAAATATAAAGCTGATTTCTGTTGTTTGACTTCTGAATTAGCATTATATTAGTATTTACTATTATACTATTGTTATAAAATGCTTTTATAACTATACTAATATTGGGTCAGTCCATAAATTTGTGCACATTTTTTGATAAATTTTTAAATAATATAAAAAAACACAATTTAACATTTTAATCAATTATATATTTTCCTCCATTATCTACAATGTCTCGCCATCTTACAGGCAGCTGTTTTATGCCATTGCTGTAGAAAGACTCTGGTTTTGATGCAAAAAAGCTTGAAAGTTCATTGTGTACATCCTGTTTAGAATTTAATTTTTTTGCCAGTAAAAAAAATTGTAAGGCACGAAATAAGTGAAAATCACTTTGGGCAATATCTGGGGAGTAAGCAAGATGTGTGCAAAAGCTCCCAATTAAATTCACTAATTTTTTGCAGTGTTGTTCGAGCCGTATGCTTTCTAGCGTTATCATGATGAAACAACACTTTCTTGATATTCACCAATCGTGGGCATTTTTTGGTCAATTCTGAGTTTAGACTACAAAGTTGTTCACTATAAACTTCTGAATTAAACGTTTGATTTGGTTCTACAGTTCAAAACGTCCTGAATGGTATTCATCACAAATGCTGCTTTTCAAACTTTAAATTTTTTAAATCATTTCTGAGCAGTCCGTACACTAATAGTGTGTTCACCATGTACACTATTAATTTTTATCGCTGCAAACCTGGCAGATTCACCACAGCACATTTGTACTGATTATCTATATTCATCTTCTATGGGTACTAAAATACATACGATATTTATGAAAGTTGGTGATGAGCTGAATAAATATGTTAGTCAAACAATGACAAGTTTCAACAGGTTCAAAATTGAATTGTTTTAGTAAATGCGTCATAGTGAATTCCATGCATACTCTTAATGCGCACGAACTTATGGACTAACCCGATACTTTTATATTTATTGCTATACTAAAATACTTTTAAATTTCCTTTGTCTGTTTTAATATGCTAGTAACTTGAATATTTTTTCTTTAATCTTAAAAAATGTCTAGTTAAAAATTGAAAGCTGTAAATCTGAGTATCAGTAAACATGTTGGTGAAAACAGTGTTGATTAAAAACAAGTATCAAGTCAAAATCAAACTTTTTTTATGTGTGTGCAGATAAGTATAACTTTTTAAGAACTTGTTAATGCAATTAGTTATTAGTTTTTCTGCATAATTATATGCTGAATTAATAAAGTGCTTATATTTAAACTAAGAAATATTGCAGGATATTTTATATTCCAACTTTCTGAAGTGTTTGGCTGCTTTAAAAATGTAAACTGTTTTATAGTAATTATAATTACAAATTTCATTATTTTTAAATCATTCATCAGCATAATAGTAAAGTGTACTAGTTAAAAGTGGAAGCTAAGAAATATCGCAGGATATTCTTTACTTTCCACTTTTAACTAGACATTTTTGAAGATTAAAGAAAAGTATGCAAGATACTAGTTTATTAAAACAGGCTAGGGAAAAGAAATTTAAAAGCACATTTAGTATTATATTGATGCATGATTTAAAAATAATGAAAGAACTTCTCTTTCATCTTTGGAGACCCTAAAATGTGTTTCTACTTCTAATAACATAATCACCAAGATTCAAAGAAAACTGAAAAATCTAAAGGATAAAAACATTTCGGTTGCATTTGCATTTGTTTGAGAGCATACAGGTGTTGTTGGGAATGAACAGGCCAATTTTCTTGCAAAACTGACATTCGTGTTAATCTCTTTTATAAGAAGGTCATGAATGCTAGTATTGTGTAGTCATGGAATCAAGAATACACTAATTCAAATAAAGGGAAATTAACTAAGAGGTTTTTCCCTTCCATGAAAAAGAGATTGTCATGTCATCATTTTTTTGCAAATTATAAAATGGCCCAATTTCTTACTGGCCATGGAAACTTTAAAAGCTATCTAATCAGATTTAAGTGGGGTCTAGAGACCTATTGTGATTACAGAGTTGATGGCAAGGAAAATGTTGAACATGTGCTTCTTCTATGTTCCAAATATGACAATAAAAGAAAGATCTTGAAACTGACACTGAAAAATATTAACTAGCCTCCAGACTTTTATCAGTTTATTTCCGAGAGAAGTATTATTTTTGTATTATTTATTTCCAAAAGAGTATCATTTTTGTCAATGCATTGTAAATTTTTTTAATCCTTCATAATTTTGTTTTAAATTTTTTTTTACTGTTTATTATTTTGTATTGTGTTTCATACTTACTTCTGTAAGCCTCATGTGATACTTTTGGCTCATAAGGAATTCTTTTTTTCTTTTTTTTTTTTTTTTTTAATTTCTGTTATTTTAGATTTTTTAATTTTAATTTTATTTTTTTTTAATTTATGCCGAAACATTACAGTGAGTAGAATTTGTGGGTAGTAAGAAATTTGTAGTTTTGAATATATTTAATACCAAGTTTTTATTTCTAATGAATAAAATTCTGAAGCAAAAGTTATAGATAAATACTGAAAGGATTAATCATATGTTGGCATAATTGTATAAAAATGAGCTTATTTTGAAAGATACTTGCGTTCAGTTTATAAACAGCTGGATGTTAAAAATTGTTACATTACAGAACAAGCACACAACAAGCATGGAATTTGCATGAAAAGTACAGCTTGCTGGAATATGCAAATGATTAGCATTTCAGGACATGTGCACTTTAGGACAGGAATAACTCCTCAGAATGGTCAGATTGAAATGGCAACTTTTCATTTGAAAATTATGTTCTCTCTTTGTGTGTGTGTGTATGCAAGAAGTTATGTTATGCAAAGTTATGTAAAAACTTATGTGGAGTTATGTAAGAAGAAGGAACTAATGTCAGCATATCTCAGAATTTGATTGCTAGAGAACTGTAAGGGAGAAAATTGGGGATTATGGTACTGTGCAATTAAATCTTGTATTGGTAGAAGATTGATTGTTATGAGACTTGCAGTTGATAAATCCATGAGGGCCATGCAGAGTGATATGCGTCATCTTAACAGCCTTCATCACCAATGTCAAAAATAACAGATATCTCACTGACATTGCTATTAGGGACTATACAGCCACATCATGTATCCTGAATAGGAAAATTTTGATGTGTTACCCAACACACATCCAATGTAATAATATCTGTAGTGCGATTGATAATCAGCAAGACAACTATTGTTTTGGCTTCTATTGCTACAGCACAAAACTCTTTATCTTCTATAACTCCTTCAATGATAGACATAGTGATGTTATCTCCTTTGATAAATCCCACATTTGCCTATAGCATCAGGATTGTTGTATCCATGTGTGGATAGACTAAGGGAATAAAATGTTGGAAGTTTGCATTCATCGGTATTCTAGTCCAGTATTTAGGGTGTGCCATTGGGTACTCATCTTGCTCAACTCTAGTGTACTATTTGGTGCTTTATTCAATAAGGTTACAATGTTTGTTGAGGATATAATGTCACTGGTTGTGCTATACCTACAGAGCCTTCACCCGCATTTTGGGAGAATACAGGCTGACCAAATTGTTTTATGTTTTCTTAAATGCAGTGTGTTTGCTTCCTGGATCAACACTTTATTCAGATTTCTTACCAATTGAAAATGTGGTATAACACCAAACCAGTATGGCAGTTGAACTTAAGCATACACTTAAAGCTCTGGGCACTCTAATACCCATAATTATTAAAGTATATTATGTTAAAAAATAAGTATGTAATTTCATTTGTAGGTTTCAGGAACAGTGTTTTATTTGTCATTCAGAGTTAACTCTCTTGCTTACGGTTTGCGATGCTGTAATGTTCCAATGATCTAGTTATTTTAGTAATTTGAATTAAATTTCTAATTTTTTTTTTTTTTTTTTAACTAACATTTAAAGTCTGTTCAACTTCATGTTTTGCTATATAACAGCTGCTTTTATTACTAGAAGTAGATGCTCAGGTTTCTGATTTTTGCGTGATTACCTCAGAATTATCTTAAAATTTTATTCACTTTAATGGGCTTGTAAAATAAACATGATTCTGATAACTGCTTTCCTTCATGGTGTAGCAATTTTAATGGCCAACAGTGTATTTTAATATATGAAAAATGTCTTCATTATATTAGTTTAATGTAAATTTTTCTTTCAGTATTATGGATTTCTTTTCTGTTACATGTGTCCTAAAGTCTAATCATAATCTGAGTGACAATAGTAGGCAGAACCTTATTGCTTTAGAAAGAAAATATCTAATTGTTTCTGCACTTTATGATAAGTTCGAAAGGTGTGTATGATCTTTTATTATGCATTATTTATTAAACATATTAGAGTACTTTCTGATAATCTACACATGTCTAAAATGAATTCACCAGACTATGCACTTTGTTGCTAAAATATATTTACGTGGCAACCTAGTTATGTATGTGTGCAGTAAACAAGCATCGGTCATTAGTGTTTTTTTTTTTTTTTTTTTTTTTTTTGCATTGAGTGCATTTTTTTTCCTCATAAGTAACTGTACTGGGACTGTAGAATTTGCTGGTTAACAAAAAAAGAAAGCGTTATAATGCCTTATAAATATTCTTTAGAATTAGCATGCATTTCTTAAGCAATATGGTATTTTATTCAAAAGTAGAGAATGCAAAAATTTACGTACCGTGAAGTTGTCTTTTGTAAGTGATCGAATTTTATGGATTTAAAAAAAAATTTTTTTTTTTCTGAATGTGCATCAATGCGATATTTCTGCAGTTGCCTGATTTTTTTATATTTTTTTAATATTTTTTTAAAGGGAAAACAGTCTGCTGTGTATGAAAACAACAACACACATGATGCAAAATTTTTGTAATTCTTTGATGTTTACTTCCTTGTACAAAAAAGAAGTATTGTAATAGCAAAAAATGTTTGGTGTCATATTTCAACAGAAATATCCATTTGGAGGATTTATTTTTGCAGGAAGACTAGTTAAAGTACATCCTAAATATGAATATCATCCAGATGTTAGTGCAACTAACAGGCTGCAGAGAATTCTCAACAATTAAAATAATAAACAATCTCAACAGTCAAAGGAATTAAAGTACAAAGTGAACTTTTAACTAGTGTTAGAATGGCATGATGCAATATTTTTCAGAAGACTGATATTACCTTTTTCTGTGAGCTATTTTAAATTCATGTTTTTCAAAATGTTTCTTTTTTTTTTTTTTTTTTTTGGTCCATTTGCTTGATTTTAATTATTGAATTTATAGTTATATATAATAATATGGGATGAAAACCAAGAAAATCTTATAAATATTAATCTTATGCCCTTGAGATCATTGAGGTCTATAGAGATTAAACATTAGCTATCATATTTTTTCTGAATTTGTTGGCAACATTCAAAAAGAAAATCATGTGATGGAATTCTAAAGATGTATCAGTTGGTTTGATTTTAATCGCCTGTGAGTTGACTTTATTAAGAGTGACATGCTTCAATAACAAGTTTTCTTCTGTAAGAATATGTATTTATGTTATAATTATGTTTGGGTAAAAATAAATGTTGTTATTATAAAAATGACTTATCACTACATAAAATACCCTTAGATGAACCATACTGCATTTATGTTAATTAAATGTTATTAAGAATAGTTATATAAAACTTTTTTTTTTAAATATTATTTAAATATTTTGCTGAGAATATTCATTCAGTTGTATAAATCCATATGCAATCTTTTTCTTCTTTAACTGAAAGGTATATTTTATGTCAATTTTAGCATGGTTGCAGAAATTTTTAGCATTGATCCTGCTCTTCCTAACCATAGAAATCAAAATATCACATGTGATCAAGGTAATGATTCTAACCAACTTATGCAACATCAAAGAACTCTTTGTTGGATGCTCTTCATAGTTGCTAAAGCGAAAGTATTATGGCATAGGCAAGAATTGCTTGCTACTTTCCATTTACTGCTTTGCTGCATAGGAGAAGTTGTCAAAATTACTCCAACATTCCTATTACTTCCTCCTTTTGGTAAGTTGTTTAATATCTCATGTTTTATAATTGAGACTTTTTTCATTAACAATTTTAACTTACCAGTTTCATCTGGTTAATGATTTCATATTTGAAATGAAGGACGTTTCAATTCTGGTGGGGCAATTCCTTCTCAGCCAAGAAAATTATATACAATGGCATCAAGGCTTGGTCTTGGCACTGAGTCTTTTCAATATCTTATTCAAGTAGATCTCCCAAATCCACTTGAAGCTAAGCTATTAAAATATGTTGATGACATGGTTATTTTAACAGATTCTTTCACTCTGCAAATTGCCATTAATAACCTGCAATGTCAATATAGTCACCAAATGGTGTGAAGACTGGAAGATAAAGCTTAATTTTAACAAATGCTGTATTGTAATGCAGATACAGAAGATATGCAAATGTACAAACAGACATTAAAATCAGAAGTGACATAATCCCCACTGCAAATTCATATAAATTGTTGAGTGTGACAGTAAATGAAAGACTCATTCAAGTATTGCATTAAAGAATTCCTTAACAAAGCTAATGCAGCATTTATGACCTTCTACTGCATCTAGGAAGAATATCAAAACATAAAAATTAAAAGAACCATGTAACTCACTTTAATTTGTCCAGTTATCTTAAACGCCATACCAGCATGGGCAGCAGCTAATAAAAACAGAGCCAAGTTAATTCTCCAAAACAAGATTCTGCATAGCATCGTAAGTGCACCTTGGTGTGTAAGGAACTCATAGATTCAAAATGACCTTCAAATCAAGTCTATTCATGAGCAAATATTAATTATTTCGCATAACTTTTTCGAAAGTATGCAAAACTCTCCCTGCAATGCAATACAGAATCTCGTAAACTATGACCCATCAATAGAAAATGTGGTTAAGTGCCCAAAATCTATTCGCCACAATGCTTCTTGGTGATGTATATATGTAAATAATTCAAGAATTGTGTTTTTAGTGTTTTTCATATTTTACCAAACAAAGCAGGTTTATAGACTTTGGGTTCCTGGCAAAGCAAGGATAAGGATTTTGCTTTCATATTATTTTCTATTTTTACTTATTTTACTCAACTGCATTTTTAACTATGTACAAGAAAATATTGCAAACAAAATTAATCAAAACTATGTTAATATCTGAAAATTTAAACTTGAATTAACATAATTTATCAGAAAGGCTTCTGATTCGTTCCAATGCATCATATGTTCTGAAAATCTCAACTAAAAAAATTCAGTTTATCTAAAAGAAATTCAAGATTTTAAATGCAAATTTTCTTTACTTTGCTGAACTTTGTGTCTTTTACCTTAGCTAGGAGAAACAAGAAATGTTGTTAAGTGAAATTTACCACAAAAGTTAGAAGAAAAGTATATTAATTTAAATATTCATGTATCACGTGACCCAAAGTGCTCTCAAACTTTTATAAACTTTGAACTTAGAAAAGAATGTAACTTAAATCTAAGGCTGAACTGTTTTAAATGTTATAGACAACTGGACACAGCTTTAAAGATATGCTTTATAATTACTACACTTGCTAGGCATGACCTTTAATCTCAAAATATGTGGCTTTGCCACCTCCGGAATTCAGACCTCTGAGTGAAAGATGTTCAGTGCACAAAAAAAAGGGGGGACAGTTCTATAAATACTGGCCGATTGACAAAATTCAAATTGCGTTTTTCATGTCTCGAAAGCGCGATTTAGGATATATATTAGATTTATATATAGCACTATTCTAACACAAAATCGGACTTTTTCTGAAATAACATACCAATTTTTTTACATATTTCGATTCTACGACTCAAATTATGCCAGTTTTGTAAAAATCGTACGAGTAGTTTTTAAAATATTAGCTCTCAAAATTTTAGCCCCTCAATATTAATTGATTTTGGCAAATATTTATTAATATCTCTTTTTTTATTAAACCTTTTTTGATTTTTCCTTCCACACTTCGAAATTAAGGTTCATTCCGAATAAAATTCAGCCATTTTTTTGTGTTTTATTTTTAAAATTTCCATTTAAAAAAATTTTTATAAATTTTTCAAAAAATTTTGGATTATAACCTATAAAATTTTTACCATCACCTTAAAGTACACGTATATTTAAGCATACCTGCAAAAAATTAGAGTTTTTTATTCAAAATTTTTTTTCTAACGATAATAATTTCAAATGCGGTTTATGGATTTGGCTACAGTGAATTAATTGCCTAAGCTATTTTTAACCTTAGATTTCAAATAAATTTTTAGGGGGAATTAATTATATGAAATTGTTTTCGTTAGTGATGCAAAATAAATATTTATTAATACTATGTGAAAAGCTATTTTTTTCAATTATAGATATTATTCAAATTTTTAACTTTTTTTAAAATATTTGTAAGAGTAAATTTTTATCTTCAGCGTGTTATCGTTTGCTACTTTACTTTAGCTTCATTTAAATCAAATTGTCTAAAACTGAGAACTTTCGTTTGATGTTTATTTGAATTTTATGAAAATATTTTGTTACATTACTGCATAATTTATTTCTAAACAAGCCGTTGCTTATGAAGTTGCTGCTGAAAGAGTGGCTGATACTATCATCCATATTTTTAAAGCACAATATATTTTTATAGAAACATAATTTAGAATAATCATTTTTATAAAAGTCAAATTATGATATAAAAATATAAACCCTCTAGAGATCGAATTAATAGAATTTCAATGATTATGTAGAAATGAACTGCAGCTCCTTAATAGCTGGGTAGGTCAGCAGGTTATGTGGACAAGTAAGAATAATTGTATAAATGACACTCAACATTCTGGATTCAATTACCAACAAGGGTATGATGTTTATTAAATGAATTAAAAAAGTTTTTAAACATAAAATAACAACTCATTTTTTGTCCTAAAATGTATTTTTCTGCAAATCCTATTTTCATTATATCCTTAAAATTCTGATTTAGAATGTAATTGTCAAGAACTGAATTCCAATCATCAATAATATAATAAGTGATTATTACGATTTTAAATAAATCCTTCTTATAAAGTAATTGCAAATATTTCAAAAGTTGTCCTTTACTATGCAAATATTTCTAATTTTATATTAATCAAGATTGCCAGGATAATTATTTTTCACTTCAATTCTTACCGTCATCTCTAGTAGAAGTACAAACAATTATGTTTAATTAAGGCATGACCAACTATTTTAGAACCAGCGTATGGCCGTAATAGCAATTCAATTATTGGCGCCGTATCTTTCAGGTTCTCCCGATTATCAAGCTACATGATTTTTAATGAGTGTTCGGCTTTTTCTAGTAACTTCAACTGGAAATCGCACTTAAATTAGGTTAATTGGTTATTTGGACATAGAAAGAACATGGGACCTATTTGGCTAAGATGCTTTTATAGAGGAACTTTGTAAAAAGAACGTAGAAAACTACGAAAACCAACCATGCAGCCTCGGTTAAACTTCGCAGCAAACACTTAGTATTTAGCAATTGCCAAATGCTAGGCCACTGGTGAGGCTCCATTTAAATCTCCAATTTAATATTTTATTTGTAAATATTTATAATAATGTTGTATTCTTAGACACAAAAAGCAGAATTTAAGTTTTGTTAACTCCTTAGTAAACTACCAAGCCATAGTGCAAATGAATATTCATTTCTTTTGCAATAATTGTATTCACTTAATACTCTTGGATATGTCTAAGAAGGAATGTTCTCAGAAGATTAAAAAGTTTTAAATCCGTGATATTAGGTTTGTCTTACAAGCTCAGTTATCGAATGTTTCGCATTGCCCGAGTAGTTGACGGTAAATGCTGAGAATAAGCAGATGATTTTTAATCTACGTTATTCATCAGAAAAACGTATTTCCAATGTTTGTATTGCATGCCATGCATCTTTTCATTATTCAGTAACCAATCGGAGAACTGCTCTGTCCGAAAATAAGTATTTGTAATTATGGTTTCTGCATGTTCTTCAAATTTGTCTTGGATTTTTTTCTTTCCAAAAACTAAAGTTGCCTCTCAAAGGAGTATGACATCTACTTTTAGAGGCATGTCAAAAACAGATCTCTACAAGCCTCTTATATACATGTTTGTGCATTCAGACAGAAAGTTGCATCAGCTTAAATTCTATAATCTATTTTTATTAATATACAGTAGATAAATACAAACCTTTACTTTAGCTTCAGTAATTCGGAATTTTTGACGAATTTTGTCAGAACTAGGACTTGGAAGATAATTCAAACTGAATATTTCGATAATCCAATAAATTCAAGGCTGAAGTTTCAATATTTTATTTTCAGAGGGAGGGGAAATTTGTTTCAGTTTTGGTCCATTATCCTAAGTATATTTGCTTCGATTCTTTATTTTTTACATAAAAGCGAAAATCTTACGCATGGTATTACATATAACGCATAGCTTCAAATTAAAATTTAATTCTATACACGGTGGTAATAATTAAAGTTCCGCTTTGAAACGGTCATAAAGGAAAACTACTGGATCAAATGTTATCAAACTTGGTAACCGTGTCTTGGAGGTCACGGGAACTTATTTTCCGCGAAAAAAAGAATGTTCAAAACCTCACCACCAGGGGGAAATGGCGTTGTATGCAATATTGTTAAACGAAATAAGGTCAAAATCTTATAATATTTTGTTACACGGGTTAACATTTTGTATACCCTTAACCCTTTCGCGTCGACTGTTACGTATACGTGCCAGCAAGAAATGCACTCATTTCCTGGCCGACATGCTAGCGTGCCAGAGCGTTTTCTTGTTCATCCCCGGCCGTGACACGTATTTGTGCCTGTGCCCTGGAGCGTTTTAAAAACTATAATTTCGTACACAGTCGGTGCAAGATGGCATTGTATGTACATATGGTTTTCCGACACATGTAGGTTTGACCTTCTACTCAAAATGAGAGTAGCATGACACACATACACGTGGGTTTTGATTATATATGATATAAACATAATGGGAAAGGAATGTTTCCGAATGGCATGATTTATGACGTCTCTTTAAATCGCACTTGGTAGTTGTTTTA